ACATAAAGCTGCTGTCCAGCGGCTGGTGGAACTTCTCGTCGATGGTCCTCCAGTCTCGCCTCTCCCAGCAGGAAACCACCAAAGCCATCTTCTTCATCCACCCTCCACCCGGGGAGGCCACCGCAGCCCACGACTGTGCAGGCGTCTGCTGAGGTCTGTTCGTCCATGAAGCAGCTGCTTTCGGTGGCGGACCCGGTGGAGGTGGCAAAGGCTCTGGTGGTGCACTTAGAGGCGGCGGAACGGGTCCTGGCGCTATACGTGGTATCACCGGTTGTGGCCAGGCTGGTGGTATGACGACGCGTGCCTTCTTCTTGGGCGGGGGCGACCCCGACGGCTCACTCGGCTGTCCTTTGAGAGGGTACTCCTTGGGCTTTGGAAGCGGAACCGCTTGCTTTGGCACACCTGTAAGCGGCTCCGCTTGCTTCGGCATCGCTTTCACCTTGGGTGGCCCCTTCCACGGTGGGGCCGAAGAAGAAGCTGCCTCCTTCCTCTTCGAAGGCTTTGCTGCCTGACCCAGGAGAAGACCACTGCTCTTGCTGGTCACAGCCTCCAAGCCTCTCTGGTCCCGCTCGGCCATCGCCATCATCTCCCGCTCGGCATCTGCATCGGCCTTGCTGCCCTCGGGCTCTGGTTCTCCAGTCGTCACCACGGCCTCGGCCGTGTCTTGTTCTTCTTCCTCGGAGAAGTAAGCCTCAAAGGCTTCCATGGCTGACGATCCTAAACTGCTGAATTCTGTTGTTATGTAGCTACTTTAGTGACACAAAGCAGTGGTTTCACATCAAGCACAGGGGCTTCCTATTAAACACAGAGCCCAACCCATAGGTTCAGATATCTGAACTTAGGATACAGGGTCTGATAACTAGATTCAGAAATCTGAACCTAAAATATAAGTGTTGGGAGTTAGGTTTAGAAATCTGAATCTAGAATCATAATATTGAGAGATAGGTTCAGATTTCTGAAATTAGATTACGGCTCTAGGATCCTAGGTTCAGATTTCTGAAACTAACATGTAACCGTTGCAATCTAGGTTCAGAAATCTTAAATTAAGATTTTAGCGTTATTATCTATTTATACTGTTTTAGAAGTACTAAATTTTGTTGGCTTGTGGATTTCTTGTCTGCTGTGGTGTTGACTTACTGATTTTTTTTTATACAGGAACACATATACAAACTATTGCTTTTCTAAAATAACTTCAGTGTTTCATGCATACATATATATATATATATTATAATAATTATATCTCTATGTTGTCAAGTTTTCCGCTTCTTGTTGGGCAGTTCGTGTCTACAGCTACGGAGAGAAAAGCCAGGAGGCTGTACAACACATAAAATCATATAACTATGCGACGATACAACGTACTATGCAGAATGGCATGCAATCACCATATCCTCCAAGCTTTCTCTCAAAACAGCTGCAGACCTTCCTTCGAACCGCGGCGCGGAACACAGAAATTATTCCATGCAGCACTAAAGCCACAACGGCTTGAAACCACCAGTGCCAACATGTCCTGACTGCCGTGAACATGCAACTGTAAAGCCACAATGGCTAGCAACACCGCAACTGCAGTACATTGAATCTACATAAGACACAATTGGCTAGCAACACCAGACGTGCATGCAGTACGTTGCATTTATACAGAATCCACTGTGGCTAGCAAGATCGGGTATCATGTACATGGTGAATTCAGCAAAAGCCACAACATTTACCAACAGCGAAGGTGGAGTGCATAGAATCTAGAGAAGCCAGGATGGCTAGCAACACCGAAGCTAAATCTTTATAAGGAATATGTATCTGTATGTATATATGTATGTGTCTTGATGTCTCTGTTCTGATATATATATATATATTTAGCTGGTATAGACCTGCCGCAATGTAAACATGTAAGCCACATGGGCTGGCAAGACCGCAAGTCATGTACATGGTGCATTCAACAAAAGCCACAAAGGCTTGCAATGACTCCAGAAGCCACAATGGCTAGCAACATCGGACTTTCACATCTATGCAATATATATATATATATATAAATGTAAGCCACCAAGATCGCATGTATATATATATATATACATATGTATTGAATATACGTAAGTAAGCCACAATGGCTGGCAACAGCGGAATTCAGCAAAAGCCACATTGGCTGGCAACAGTCCTGTCTGACCGCTGAAAACCCCTAAACCCCTGTAGACCCCCAAACCCCTATAAACCCCTAAACCCCTATAAACCCCTAAAGCCCTACCTACCCCGAAACCGCTCTATATAAACCCCTAAACCCCTAAAAACCCTAAGCCCTTGAACCCTTCGCTTCTCGGTTTCCAGTTTACACAACAAGAAAAGCCCGACCTTATTATACTGTAGAATATATTAGACGTGCCTCCTGCAATATAAGGCAACTTTTGCTACAACAGGTTGCACAACAATTGTTAGAGCTTGGTTTCAAGGCTTGCGGGTTGCGGATAGGTGCAGAGGCAGCATGCAGGTCTTTTCCTGCAAGCTGGGTCCAAGAGCCTGCAGCTCTGCAGTGCCTATAGAACAAAAACATCATTGCCCGGCCATTCTCCGTCGCAGCTCCCGGTGTCGTTGCATGACGTCGTCGGTGATTCCTTGAAATACACGGTGTGTATTGCGATTCACTCGCATCAATGCTCGACGATCATCCGGGCTCAGGGAAAGCAACACGTAGGAGCCTGAGCGAGTGGCTCCCAGTACACCCACCAAGCTAGGCTCTAGGATCTCTGATAGCCAGGAACGATCTTCCAAGCCTTCCCATAGGAGCAACAGGTATAACCTATGCAGAGGTTGCGGGGCCATACGATCTCGCCGTGCTAGACCTCGATCCATCTTCCTTTGGTGAAACTTGTCGTTCGTTTCCTACAAGCACAGCTATATCCTACAAGCACAGCTATAGCTTCAGCCAAGTCGGCAAGAAAACCATGCATGCAGCACAGCTTGCGAGGGCAAAAGAAAAGCCAGCTATGGCTGAAACACACGGAGCAGGAGGCACGTGCAAGAGCCGATGTTTTTGGTACTGACATGAAGCGATTGCATTGCAGGCTGCAAACTTCAATCCTCCCCCGAAGGGTGTTCCTGGGACTCTTCTGAAGAAGCAGGCTGTGCCCGGGCTTTAGGCGCCTTGGCCTTTTTACGGACATACTTTCGCTTCGCTGTGCGGAAGCATTCATCCAAATCCTCACTCAGCATGGTGAAAACCTTCCCCAGCATCCCGGCTTCCATGCTCACGATGAAGTCGCTTCTCGAGGGTCTGGTACCCTTCACCAAAGTCCTGATGCTGACTGAGTCCACGGTGATCGTCAAGACTTCGCCGTCTTCGTCCAAGGGCTTTTTGATCACTTTGCGCTTTTTCGCCGGCTTCTCCTCCTCCTTGTCAAACAACGACTGCGGCGGGGCCGCCTCGGCTGCATCCTCCCCTTGGTCTCTGGCATCCAAAGCTTTCTTGCGGAGCTGGAAAAGCTTCTTCAAAGCAGAGCTTGAGGAAATTGAGGCATTCTTCGGCGGAGCTTCTCCATAGAGCACCGTGAGGAGCACTTGGTTCGTCGGCCTTAAGCGAAGAAAGTCCTCATCTCCGTGCTTCTCAAGCAAGCTGTCCGGCAGCAACGAAAAGCGGCCGTCTTTGAAGCGGATGCAAGGCTTCCTCTCGACCGTCACAGCCATGCAACACGGAGCAGGCTTCCAAAAGCTATAGATCTGGGCCGGCTAGACAGCTGAAGTATTGCAAGATCTGCTCTTGGACTGGGGATAGATTGCAGAAGTATTTGGACATCTTGCCTTCCTGCAGAAGCTACACAGCTGACACGTGCAAAATAATGCAGAAACACTGCAGGAAAGCATTATAAGCTGGCTAAAGCACAGTCTAAAAAGCCCTTGGGCTGTCGATAAATTGCAGAAGTATGGGTATATCCTGCTTTGCTGCAGGAACTACAGACTGAACACCTGCAACGTGTCCATAAACACTGCAGAAAAGCACAACTCTGTGCTTTCAGGAAACGATGTCGGTCAGTTAGCATTTGCAAAGCACTTGTTTTCTCCAGCATGCAAGTGCAGAATGAATTCGTCCAGCACGCAAATTGTGATTGCATCTGGAAAAAGCTTGCCAACAGCAAGCAGCCGTGGTCCCTCTCAGCCACGGTAGATGAGCCTCTGCATTTCACCTTCGGTGAATCCACCACTGCCACCACCAGGTGCCTTCGGAAAAGCGCCAACACCAACGCCATTCACTCCGCATTCTGGGGGATCTGCTACCACGCTCTCGCTCGGGAGGGTGTTGCTCCGCATTCGTCTCCTCGGCTGCAGGCTCCGATCTTCGCCTCGGTGGTGTTCTGCTGCGGGCCATGATGTAGCAGGCAGGCAGCGAGGCTCGAACTTGAAAAGACTGCGAAGCGATGCCAATCATGCTTCATCATGTGCTTCACTCTTGCACAGACATATGCACAGCAGTCATTGCATTTCTGATGCGAAACTTCAAGTATGCATATGCATGATGCAAGCACTCATTTCTTCAAATGCAGGAATGGACGAGGTGCTGCCTGAAGCATGCATGCTTCCAAAGCAAACATGTGTGGAAAACAAAACTGGCAAACACCCGCTTGGCTGCGGAAAGCAAAGTCGACCAAAGGCCTCTAGACTGACAAGAAAAGCCAACCAGGCTGCGGAAAGCAAAAGCGCCGAAAGGCCTAGACTGACAAGAAAATCCAACCATGCCTCGCTGGCATCTTATAGATCGAGCATGAAAGCATACCTTTGCTACATGCTTCACTCTTTCTTGGCCTTCTTCTTCGCCTGTCCCTCTGCAGGCTCTTCTTCGCAGTACGTCAAAGCCTCGTACTCCTTGATGGGCCGCTTGTTCTTCAGAACAGGGAAGCTATTGCCGTTCTTCTTGAAGACGTGAATGTGCATGTTGGCTGCATCGGCATCCTTTGTCTCCTTGACCCAGAAGAAAGGGGCCAGGACTCCCTCGCCTTCCTCATTCGGCATCTTCGTAAAGTCCGCCTGGTTCAAAGCCTTGAAAGGCTGGATCATCCAATCGCACCCAAAGCCCTTGGCATGCAGCCGCTTTGGCACGGGCTTGCCTGCACGAACTTTGGTCACGGTACCCCATGGCCAGAGTTCCAAGTCGCCGGCCTTCTTGTAGCTCTTCATCGCATGCACCATGGCAGGGAAGGAAGTGAAAGCGAGGTCCTTGGCTTCAACCTTCTTGTTCCAGGCATTGTCAAGCAAAAGCTGCTGCATCTGGGCTTTGTTGTACTCATCCAAAACCGCACTGCTCTCATGCACCATCTTCATCTCCACCATGGAGGGTGGGCACAAGGCTGGGGCCTGTCCCTTGAACTTGCGCCACTTTAGCAGGAGCCCGAAGTGAACGAAAACGGTCTCCTTGGGCGCCAAGAGGGGATCGTGTTCCATCCAGACTCCGTTCTCGTCCGCCTTCGTGAAGACAAAGATCTTGTTGCCGTGGTCTTTGACATTCGTGTACCTATGTCTTTACTTGGCATCATGTGTATCTTCCCTCTTTATAAAGCCATATAGGCTTGCATCCAAGCAGCAAGCCCCCCATGCTGCATGTGAGCATTCTGCAAGAGAGCCATTCCCTCTTTATAAAGCCATCTAGGCTTGCATCCAAGTAGCAAGCCCCCCAGCTGCATGTGAGCATTCTGCAAGAGAGCCATCTCCTGGGGCTTGCAGTCCAAAACGTTGGTTACCGAGGAGCTTGACGCTGATGATGCTGCTGCTGCCTGCGATCCACCGGAACCGCTTGCCTCCGAGCTGCCCTTCTTCAGCTCGCCCGCAAAAGCACATGCGATCTCTGGCAAGTCCGCGAAGACATGCTTCTCTCCCAACGCTTTGTCCTTGCCCAAGACAAACAGAGCCGCCCTCACACACAGCTTGCCGAACACTCGCTCCAAGGATGCCCCGGTCACGTGGGCATTGCTGCACAACTCCCAGGAATCCTTCACCAAGGTCTCGAACTGGTCAAGCAAGTCGCGCATTGCTTGCGTCTTGAGCTTCTGAATGTCCGACACACTGACGATCTTCTGAAACCCGTCGGTCTGCTTCGGTGAGGAAAGCATCGTTGCGAACCTTCTCTGAGCATCCTAAACACAAAATACAAAAATCCAACCGTGTATCATTTAAGAACGGAGCATCAATACCAAACTCCAACTTGCATTTCTAGCAAATACAAGCATCCTAAACACAAAATACAAAAATCCAACCATGCATCATTTAGGAACGGAGCATAAATACCAAACTCCAACTTGCATTTGTAGGAAATAGGAGCATCCTAAACACAAAATACAAAAATCCAAGCATGCATCATTTAGCAACGAAGCATTAATAACCAACTGCAACTTTCAATCAGTGAAAACCGAGGCAAGGATGCAGAAATCCAGCTCTTGAAACCGGAAAGAATATTTATTACGAAGGAAACTTGGCTGACATGCGATTCCAGCAGCAGCGCCAAGCGAGCGAAAGGGTACACTGTGTTCGGGTTCTTGAAGTCGCAGAAAGCGAGCGTTTTCATCACGTCCGTGCCGATCATCAAGGTCCCGTAGGACTTGCCTTCTGCACATGCTTTAAAAGCAAAGAAACAATTGTGAGACAGAAATGAAAGAAATGCCTGAAAGCAAGCATATAAAAGCCAACTGGCTGAAGTCCACAAGGAACATCATGAGATCCATGCTTTCGCCTCCTCCGTATCGTGACACGTAGTGGCTAATAGCATCCAAACTACCGCGACAGGCTGGATCCGCTTGCTTTAACTCTGCAACAGAAGACTCCAAAGAAGCACCACTCTTGATCCTCATCGCCATGAGTCCGGCAGCTTCTACCTCGCTCACCTGCTTCTGCCCAGAACCAGATGCATTGCTCGCCAACTGATAGAACAGAGGCACCCCTGGGCAGGCCTGCTCCACCAAAGATGAGAGCACTAACCAAGGCCATCCGGAAAGGACGTCCTCCAGTTGCTTCACATGCACATTCGCATCACCACACTGGCAGCCTGCTTCCACCGCCTTGAAAAAGGCAGTTGTATGGCTCGTCCCCAAGGTGAGAAATCGTTCATCTCCTTTCACCGGGGCGAGCTGCCCGTGAGACAGCGCAACCAGCCTGCGATTGGCCTCCAGCTGCTCTGTTTTCTTCCCAACGTCGTGAGCAATCTCAATGCATACCGAGCCCTGGAGAAGGCTACGCTGCACCCCAAGCGACACCATGCGAAGCCCTTTGTTCCAGACATCGTCGACGGACAGCATCTGTCCCGCACGGTTCGAGGGGTGAACCAAACAGGCCGATGGAGCAATGTCTTGCGTCCATGCAAGATTGTGTGCCTTCAACGTCTTCGTGAGCTGCTGCATCTTCTCGAGCATGGGCAAGTCGCTTTGAAGTAGGGACTTCACCATGGACACGACTGCGGGGGGGCAAGCACCGGCCATGGTCTTCCAAGGCAAAGCAAGACGGGGGCGGGGGAGCGAGTTCGTGAAACCAGCCAAAAGCTATCCGGAATTCGTTCTGTACACCTGCAGGCATTTCCTGCAGATGCGACTGGCACAAAGCCCCTTTGGGCTTCATTCCACACAAAAGCCATGGGCTGGCTTGACTCCTTCAGAGACTTGTACCAAAATCACATGGATCCGTCACCAAAGCAACTTCATGCTTGCGGGTCCAGAAATAAGCATGCTGCATGCTTGCGGAACTTCTGAAGCCATTTTCACGGCTGGCAGAAACATACCAAGCATCATTCCTCCATGACCCCGCATTAAAGCAAGGCTCGACATCACATCCTATACATGCACGAATGCAAGCTTGCATGGCATCGCAAAGCAGTGTACTTCTACAGAAGCTGTAGCAAAACGTAAAATAGCTTGCATGCCAACATGTTCAGAACTTGCTAGCTGGTCTCCCGACTGTTTGTTCACCTCCAAAACACACATGCTGGAGCCAGAAAATGTGCTTTCACATGCATGCATTATTTGCAAAGATTTTCCTGCTGCGAACAAAGCCATCCTGGCTTGGAGCCAAAGGCATGATGCCTGCCAATGTATGATTCTTGTATGTTGCGATTTCAAAAAAAGCAATCTCAATGGTTTGTAAAAATCTGCTAAGTTCATATAATTACTTAGCGACTTAAGCTTCCATTATCATAGGTTACCTAATCACCACAAAAAATTATACAATGTTGTTAACTCACATAACATCTTATACTGCTTTCTCCTTGGTTATGACTGACTTACAAGACACTTACAACATACTTCACAAAGATTTACCAAATCCTTAACAAAGTCCATAAAGCCGATAAACCCTTAGCAAGAACCCAGCTGATCAAAGTAGGAGAAGCTGTGATCCGGTGTGTAAATATGCCAGTCCGCGTGTTGCTTGTTTTGTACAGAGTGTTACTGTGCAATGTGTTGTTTCCTGTTTGTTGTTGGGCCGTGTTCTATATTTCCGAGTGTCCAAGAACTGTAGACATGACGAACCACTTCTGCGAGAAGTGGACGGCGTGAAAAAAAGCCTTAAGCCCGATAAGCCCTAAGCCCTAAACCATAAATTCTAGATTTGGATCCCCCACAAGGTACACATCTTTTTTTGTAGTGCGACTAGTTGGTTTCGTCGAGTCGGAGGTGAGCTCGTGTAACACTTGTGCGCCACAAGGGATCCTGATGATGTTTTGTCAGTAAAATCTCTGTGGTTCTTTGTGCTTCAAGTTGAGCCACTGCCAGCTGACGATGGCCGTGGGGGTAAAAGGGCATGTCCCGGCTGCTGTGGCGACATCTCAAACAAGCTTGCAGCTTCTACGCAGACATAGTTTCGCAATGCTTCCCAACACGTAGTGATCTTTCACGTCAGTGTATTACGGCTGTTCGATGACTCACTGAGTGGCACATTCTAGGGCTTCGCAGCATACCTTCGTTATCCGGTCGCACTTTCAGCATGCTTGGCATGGTTTTCCTCTGGTTGTGCGGCGTTGCACATCCAGCTCATCGCGTGACTCTGCATGGGCAGAGATGCAGGTTGAAACTGCCAACAGATGACTGGCTGCAGCGGGTCTTGCAGCATGAGGGTGTTGAAGTTTCGTGGCATGACCCGAAGCCTGAGCTAGCCCAGAAGTTTACCATCCGTGGTCTTATAGAAATGGATTTTCAGCAGTTGCAAGTCTGGAGTGGGTCTCTGACATCATGGTCGAAAGAAAGTATGGTGTTGCACGACTACTATCACTGCCCAGTGGACAGTTTTATCATCCGTGCTTCCTCGGTTTTCTGCTTCGACGAGGATGTGCCAGTGTATACCAAGATCGATGGGCGTGCTCGCGAATCCGTCATCAATGGTTCGGATGGTATCTTTTTTCCGTGTGGTGTAAATGTTGAAAGAATGAGATCCGTTACAGGGATAGAAATGAAGATCAGGGATCCTTTTCATCAAGGGCAGCGTCGGTGCGAGCTGCAGGAAATAATGCAACGTTGGGGCATCTCCAGAGAGGGGCTCGGGAAATTGGGAGCTCACCTAGTCCCAGAGCCGGTGTGCAAGTTATTGCTTCGTGGCAAGTGGCAGGATCTGCTGTTCATGAGCAGATGGTTTAAGGGTCCTTTTGCTAGAAGGGGCTCTTGGGCAGAACAGGCAGGCTTCAGGTTGCCGGATGCACTCTGGGCGGTTGCAGGGGAACATGAGACTTTGCAGGGTTTGGAACCTTTAGAGCTCCAACATCTGCAACAGATGCTGGACCACATTCGGCGCTGGAGTCCTGCCATTCTTGCCCAGTGTGAAACCGAGGATGCAGCTGCCGGTGAGCAGTTGTTGCTTGAATCGTTTGCAACATGGCTGAGGCAACTGCTGACATACTTTGCTCCACACTTTGCAGAAAATGCAGCAGACCTTCGGACGCACCTTGGTGAGAGAGATGCACACCACGGCTTGCAGCGTTATTCTGATAGACAGCTCGTCGGCATGGTGCTGTTTGCTTGGCACTTGCGTGACAGTGTCGGCTTCAAGGAAGTCGCCCCCAGTGCTCTGGAAGCCATGTTCCCCAAGTTTTTCTCTCTGACGGGTCTCGCTACAGGGAAGGGCATTCTCAAGCAGAGCAAGACATTGTTGCGCAGTGCGCAGCTCAGTGTAGATGTGGCCCTTATGCTGTTGCGAAGGAAGGGTTTTGAGGAGCGTCCAAATACTGTAAGATATGGCTGGGCCGACAGCTCTCCCATTGCTCAAGCGGATTGGATCATCTGCAAACACCAAGCAATTGCCTCGCAATCATGCCTGGAGCTATTCCAGGCATGTGCTGAGCTCCGCAGCATCGAGGTTGATGTTTTGGAGGAAGAAGAGAGGGAGAGGCGAGTTGAACTTTGCCAGCAGCTGCTTGCTGAGATACGTGTGCACACCCAGCCACCCCAAGCGATGGCTTTGGGCTTGACGGCGATAGAAAGTAAATTGTCGGCTCTTGCTTTCAGCTTCTATTTGGAGGTTGGCACACTTCAGGGCTTGAAGGCTTTTCTTGATTCTTTCGTTTCCCATATTTGCAGCAATCTGTGCAAGGACATCTCAAAAAAGTTATCCCACTGGCCAACTTTCGTCAACGAATTGTCGAGTTTGGAAGCTTTGTTGTGCAACCGTGATCGACGTGAAAGGTTTGTGACGGCTTGCATCCCGAAGGGTGCGGACGAACGGAATCTTTTCAGTTCCTTTAGTGGAAGCCTGTATGAAAAACGATGGGGTGCTGTCATCAGTTTTCTCGGCAAGCTGATGCCTCTGCTGGGTGCGTTGACGCAGTATTGGGATGCTCAAAAGTTCGTTGCAGGTTATCAGCAAAGGGAATCTGCGGATGATGAGCAGGCAGGTCAAGGTGCTGCTTCTTTCGTGCCGGCGGCCTTGAGCAAAGCTTTGGAGAGTAGCTTGTTTCATGTGTATGCCAGCATGATTCTGTCCGTATTGAACATTGTTGACGGGCTCACTGCTTGGTTTGAGGGGTGTGCCTGTCATGAGGTATTTTCCGATCCGCACAGCAAAAAGAAGCTGAGCCGTCTTGCTGAGCAAGAGTTCCGAGCTTGTGGCACTCAGCGAACGTGCCCGATGAAGGGAAAGCGTGCTCCCGAGTTGGCAGCCGGATGCTTGGACGAGGTGTTTCTGGACTTGTTGAATATCTCGCGAGACTCCGTCTTGAAGTGCATGCGCATGCACCAGCTCTCCAGCGAGGAAGAGTCGGTGCTTTGGCAAGATTTTGAGTCCAGCCGAAGCTTTCTCCAGATGGGCTTGCAGATTAAATTCGATTTTTGGGGCAAAGTTCCTTGGAAGCTTGCTGCACTGTCGCATCCCGATCAAGACGTGGCTAGGCAAGCCGCGGGAGAGATGTTGCAGCTTTCTGACGGGCTTGATGCTGCTGCTGATTCAGCCTTGCTGCACCACCCGGTCACAGTGGACTTTCTAGGTGCAGCGAGCCAACTTAGACCATTGGTGCAAGCTTTTGCTGATGGCGGGCACATGGCTGCAACATTGCATAAGGAAGCCAGCAAGCTAGCCTTCATTCCAGTTGTTGAAAGAAGCATCGAAGCAAAGCATAGTCTCATTTCGAGGAGGGTGCAGAAGAATTGGAGGTCAGGACGCATCGTCAGCCTCACGTTGCGTGTGCCGGACATCAAAGCAGAAGTTGCTGCCGATGCTGAATTCTTAAATCGCCTGACAGAAGCTTTTGGACTTGTGAGGGATCCCCGAAAAGCGGCTCATCAACTGGGCATCCAGGACCATCCAAGCCTGCTGGATGCAAGCTTTGCCAAGATGCACAGAAACAAAATCGTAGGGCTAGTGAATAAGATCGTGTATCGTAGTGACCTTGAATCAAAGTTTGAAAAGCACAGAAGCGCTCGTGTCGAGCATGAGGCCCAGGCCAAGAAGCGAGCTCGCCTTGCAGAGCGACAGATCCGGGACATAGCAGCACAGGGCGTGCAGCCGCAGCAGCAGCGGCGGCAGGTCGATAATTCTTTCGACAGTGTCTTGAGAGTAGCCATTGCTGATCATTTCCAGGTCGTTTCTGAAGCTACCCCTTCAGCATGCGTTTACAGTTTGAAGATGGTTCCGTCAGAGCAGGGTTCTTTGCCAGTGTTCCGTGGCCTTGAGTCAGTGCTGTCCCGCAACGTCAAAGACAGGTTTCAGCTTCCAGCCCCAAGTCCCACATTGCGTTCAGATGTTGATGATGAAACAGAAATCAATCAGTCAGAGATGACAGATGATGTGGTTCACTTTCAGGTGCTGCACGGCAATCCGAGCCGCCTGCGGACGGTGCCTCTGGCGCCAGCTGCAGGAGAACGTTTGCAGAAGGGTGACATCGCAGTCTCAGTGCATTTGCCTCTGCCGTGTCCGGATGGTGCCACTGGAGTTAGGTTGGAGCCTGTTGTTCAGGGCAAGACTAGTGTTGCTGTGCTTTCGGGTTTGGCTGCAGGTGATTTAAGTT